TGGGTTCATGGGTTCATGGGTTCATGGGTTCATGGGTTCATGGGTTCATGGGTTTGGGGTTTGTTTGTTTGTTTGTTTGTTTGTTTGGGGTTTGTTTGTTTTTGTGTCGGAGGTTTTGGGTTCGGGTGTTGGAGGTTTTGGGTTTGGGTGTTGGAGGTTGAGGTTTCCGAAGGGATGTGTTTGCAAAGTTTTATTGCTCTTAATATTAATTTATCACTACAACTAGGCTAGCACCAGAAAAACTAGAATGGAGACTTACGATGTTCGCGAGCATACCTAGCGTCATCATACCACAAGCGGTGACGCTTTTGAACTCGAAGCGCATCCTCGACAGCAAGACGTCATCCACTTCGCTGTCGTAGGAGACGTCCATGGTCAATTTTCGCTGACCTATCGCCTCCTACGTGATCTAGAGAGGAAACACGACTTGGCACTTGCTTTTGTGCTTCAAGTTGGTGACATAGAATGTCATAGACGTGCTGAAGATTTACGTTCGATGGCTGCGCCGACTTCGAAGAAGACAGTTGGTGACAGACTTTGCGATTACTGTATTTGATGCTGATAGTGTAGACGAGCACCGCCATTGGTCGACAAGCAGTGACTTTTTTCGAGGAGATGGGCATGATGTTTTGATCCCTGATTCTGGTGCCTCTTGGTCAAAAAAGATTGAGGAGACATCCGACAAGAATCCCTTACGATATCCCTGGCCCCTCTATTTCATAGGAGGCAATCAAAATCATGAGTGTAGTTATGGCTGGCTCGACGATCCTAGATCATGGGTCGTGCAAGATCAGAGAGGAAGAGCCGATTCTGAAGCGTCGATGTTGAAAGACGTAGCTCCTAACATGTTTTACCTTGGTCGTGCTGGTTTTTTGCCTCTGCGATTATGGAGAGGGAACTACTAAGAAGAAGAGCATGCCCAAACAGTCAACATCGCCTTCGTTACTGGCATTCACCGACCAGAGAGCTATTTTGAACGACGTCCTGCCATGCCGCTATTTTGAACGACATTGTCCGAATCCGAAGAAAGCGAAAATGGCGATGGGGCCCTATCTTTCGAACGAGAATTAGCTGAACGTATTGCATTGGTGTTAGGACTGAGAAATAAGTTGAAAGAAGCGCGAGAATGGGTTCGGCGAGATACGCCTTGTCCGTCACTCACAAAAGCCGACGTGCGGTTCTCGCTTCGCTTTGTGTTGAATCTAAATGGAGGGAAGGAGAAGGGGAAGACGGACAACACGAGAGACAGAGACCGTGATCGACGTCGACGATCTTGAGGGCTGGAGCCGATCCCACAAATGAACATAGTAAAGCATTCGACCACATCACCATCCCATTTGTCACTCTCATCCGGTATTTCTCGCAGCGCATATCCATATCTCCTTGTGAAAGTAATCGTAAGCAGCAGGAAAAGTTCCTCGGCCTTTTGGCTTTTTCGTCGCAAGCGTGCAGTGGATACTATACTTCTGACTCATGACTGACCTTCTGGGCTTCTCCAAAATGCTGACGAGAAGATAAAAGATGCGTTACAAAGAGGCTCGAGACCATTTGGAAATCCTATATCCCGTGAATTATTTTTGGAGACTTTGAAGCCACAATTGCATTGCTGTGGCCATATGCATCGACCGTTTCGAAGTAGAGTCGAGCATAAAAGATCTAAAGAACCATGTATGTCTTCTGAGGTGTGTTGTGCATCTAAAGTTGCTTTTCCCGGGGCCGTAGCATTGTTTTCCTTGAATCTAAGGTCCGGCAAAATCCAAGAAATTGATCCACCAAAGTTGTCCTATGTTGATAGTAGTGGTAGTTCCGATGGCGTTCTTGAGGAACAGTTCGACGAAGATGGGAATCCAATTTAGTTATTCTTAATAAGGAAACCTCCTCACATCAGAGAAATTCGTAGAACTCAAAAGAGATTCAGGGAAGTCGCGGGTCCAATCCGAACCGACTGACGTCATCAGTAAGGGGAACTCCTATCGTGCGCGTGACTAGTAGCACAGAACAAGGAACAGACGAAGCGGAAGCACTACTTTCGACTTCAATTGCGGCCCTACTTATGCTTATCATTTCTGCACGGTGTGTTGCGTGGTTATTATACAGGAGGACTATTGACCGCAATCGAATCATTATGAGAACTGATTCACAAATTGTTGCCGTGATGTGTCGTGATAGATTTTGCCGTGTTCTTGCGAGGTGGATCGGTACGAAATAAAGGAAGAGTGAACATCAAACAAGTTTCAGTCGCAAAGGGAAAGGGAATACGTACTTCTTCTAAAGAGAGAAATCGTTATTGATGGCGTCGAATTGAAGATTCTGGAACGATCATCGATAGGAGATTGAAGATCGATAAAAACAGAATCAGTTGTCATTAAGTGACGGTGGTCATTTGTACTTCACAAGAAAGATTGAGTCAATCATCTTGGACAATTGCTAACGAAATCTGTGGTAGTATGTTTGAGTTAGTCTATAGAAGCATCACGTAGCAGTCGTTGGTTGAGGTTTAAAGTTTCTCTTCCGTACGTGTGGCTACTTTCTTTTTGAGTCTTCCCCTTGTCATTGTCTGTCGCTTGTGAAGCGTACCGCGCCCCGATCGGCATTACAAAAAAATAAAATTCTGCTGAAATCTCCAAATCGAAACCCAAAGCCCCATGACATGACTGGGTACACTACTACTACTAGTACTCTTGATACCAGAAAATGACTGATAACTCAACCCTTTACCAACCCACTGTAGTTGTTTTACAATCCCAGACGAGGATTAGTTCGTAACCATAAATTTTCTTGTCAATGAACCTCCTTGTGTTCTGCTCCTGCATGAGTTGTTTTTGTCAGTCGGAGTCGGACATGTAGTTGTTGATATGCTAACGGTGTTAATGTTCACGATCATTGTATTTGTAAATTAGGAACCAAGTTCCTACTTCTCCATCAACATGATCAAGTGTTGGTCATGGTCGTAAATCCTTCAAATACCACAAAGATCCACAAAGATCAGAAGGATGAAGATCATCAAAGTGACCAAGATCGCCAGGCGAACAAGGTGCCCACCGGCACCACTTTCAACGCGTTGGCCTTAGCTGGCGCGGGTGTCGGCGGTTTCTCCTCTCTCTCTCGTTTGTCGTTTCAAGTCTCTCAACACAGTCAAGGACAAAGCAACACAGGAAAGA